AATACTCCAACATGTGGTATAGGTACAGGCTCTACAGCAGGAGAACTCCAAGTGAGAGGATACTGTGTGTGTGTGTGTGTGTGTGTGTGTGTGTGTTTCAAATAGAGGAAACTGACAATGATGAATTTCCTCTAAGGGTAGATTTCTCATTTCCCTTGCTTGTCTTCTTGAGATGGCCTTCTTCACAATGCATTTCCTTCTGCCATCAATATCCCAGGTTTGAGGTATTAGGTACTACTAGATCAAAAGCTACAATGAAGGGGACTTGATATCTTTTTTATGCTTAAAAGACTGGGTGGTTTAATTTTTTTTCTATGAAAGCTCTGATCTTAATGTTGTAGTGACTCTAATAAGAAATTGCTGCTTCTTCATAAAACCAAGTCAGATGCTTATGTCAGCCCATCCTCAATGGGTTAAGAGGTCCACTGACAGCGAAGTGAAGCTTTTCTAATGCCAAAAGAAAGTCATTAGAATCAGAAGCAGGGGGCATGCAAAGAGCAGCTTCCAACTGAGCTCAGCTAAATTCTCTTCCTGATAGATTGGGCACTATTTCTATGTTGTGGGTAGGGAAGAGGCTAGGTCTCTAACTTTGATAAACCTTCTGCAGATATCACCAGGTCAGTTGAATGATGACCTGGGGTGCAGGTCAACAATATTTCCAAAGGCCAGATCCCAGTAGGCAGATGGCAGGGGTGCCCTACCCTTGCCCTGTCTCACTGCACCAATAGGGAGTCACTGCTGTGAGTGAGGGAAATAAAACAGGTTCATTTCACTGCACACTTCACAGAGGGGTAAAAGTAGCAGGGAACTCAAATATATGTCAGCATGTGGGAGTAGGAAAAACTGTATTGAGCAATTTGAATTGCATTGCAAATGGCACTACGATAAGAAAATTGAAGTCCCTGCTGCCTCACCAGGAAATGGCTAGTTAAAGGGCAGCACAATTAAGGTAACAGTATAATTCCCCTGTGAGTCAATGAGTTTGCACTAATCCTCACCTTGGACTACTCTGGGATACTAAACCTTGACTGTAGCCTGAGCCCCATTTCTTTTTTTTTTTTTTTTTTGAAATTAGAAATAATTTTTTTAACTTTTATTTAATGAATATAAATTTCCAAAGTACAGCTTATGGATTACAATGGCCACCCCCCATAACTTCCCTCCCACCTGCAACCCTCCCCTTTCCCGCCCCCTCTCCCCTTCCATTCTTGACCAATTGTTCTAAAATCACAAAAGGGACCAGAAGAAATAGAGAGTGTTAGTTTGTTGTATCCCTACAGTAAGAGAATCTATTCAAAGTAACATTGAGGGACAGTAGGTAGGTTGTACTACCTTTGTATGTGAAGAAGAGCCAAAAGGAAACCATGATTGTACAAAGGAGAAAGGCAGCTTACCTGGGTTTTTTTCTGCCAGAAATTCCTCAAAAAGGGCCCACGAGTTAGGATGGCTGATACTTTTAACTGAGTGGCTGGATATGTGCAACACAACCCCCAGTGTGTATATTCTGAGGTTCCTCCTCAAAAACACACCAGAGGGGTGGTGTGCTACTCTGTCTTATCAGAAAGCCTCACTGAAGACAAAGGAAACCTCTACACATTTGCCTTAGAAGCTAACTGAAGCATGACCCTGTGGTATGACAATTTGGTTTTCTAATGAACCAGGTTTGGAGAAACCTGAGTTCCAATCCTGGCTGTCCTAATTCCTAGCTACAAGGCTTTGGGTAAGATAGTGTACACTCTCAGAGCCTTCTATTCCCCATATACAACATGAGGTTTCTAATGGTAGTTAATAGAACTATTGTAAGTGTTACACGAAGTAATTCATGTAACAGATTGGTACACAAAACAGTGGTGTTTATTGTAGTTATTATTATTGCCAGCACCACTGTAACTCAGTTATCACCAGGGTTGCTAATGTAGCATAGGATAATCATTAAGCCCCCAATTTTGATAGCCAACCTGGAATTTTAGTATGTGCTCTACCACTCCTTGTGCCAGTAGGCAATTCTTGCACTCCCTGCAGTCCCTCAGTCTCTTCTGTGACTCTATGATACTAACCTCACTTTCCTGACAGCATGGTGAAGATTAATTAAGCTAACATATCTGAAACACGGAGAAATGGTGCCTGGCAAAGAGGACATGCCATGTAAATATTATGTACTATTAGTAACATTTTGGTAAACATCTTGAGTGAGGGTTTCTCTCATGGGTCACAATGGTGTCACAGTTCACACTTCAGGTTCTCAATCTGTTGCTAAGCCTACTATCCCCACTAAAATGCTAGATCCACCCACTAAAGCTACAGCCCATAAATGTAGGCTTGGAACCTCATCTGGTCATTAAAATTCTGTCAGCAAAGGCATGTGCCATCACACTTTTCCAGAATCCAACCCTCTGTCAACTCCCATTTAAAAGTCACTAAGATATCATAGTTGTATCTGTCACAGTAGATTATGTTATGTCAACAGGACAATGCAACAACAGACACAACTGGTTGTGGCATGTAAGAAAATGACAAATAAGTCCCAGGAATTTGTAAAGACAGTTTTCTGAAGGGAGAGCAGGTGCTGAGCCTGGATGTGAAATGAAAACTGCTTACAAATTGAAAGGTAGACAAAAGGTCCCTTCATTCCAGATTTGGTCCTTGGCCAAGGTTGAGGTTCACATAATTTATATTTACAGTCTTTCTTCTCCTCTCAGGGCACACCCAATGCTGGTATTGGCTTTTGTGGCACTCCACCTAAGCTCAAGGTACCTAAAAAAGACCCTTTCTCCAGAATGTTCCCTCTTAGCTTCCTCCTATCTGGCTCCCAACCTAAAATCCTACCATTTCAGTATCTGACCTAGAACATATGAGGCTGATCCAAGCTTAAGATATTACTCTGCTCAGGTGTATGTCCCATTTTAAAAGCCTCTAAGACTAAGGCAATGCTTTATTCTAGGAAAATGTCTGAGAGAAAAAATTCAGGAAATTCTGATAGAGGGATACTTCTGGTAGCAACTATTGAATTCATTTGATCTCTTTCCACAAATATATGTTGCCATCATGTGCCAATTCCTTCTTACATACTAGAAATTCAGCAATAAAAGATAAGATATAGCCCCTTCGGTGGGGACTTTACATTCTATTAGGGAAAAATAATCAAGAAAAATATAATTTCATATTATGTGAGCACTATGAAGAGAATTTACTTAGCAGAGTGACAGGCTAAAGGTAATGGAGATGAGGGTGATTGAAACTTTATGTATTATGGTAAGGGATATTTTCTTTCAGGTAATGACATTTAACCTAAGATTTGAATGATGAGAAGGAATTTTCCAAGCAGAGGTCAGGATCATAATGAAAAATCATTCCAGGCAAGTTATAGAGCAAATTTAAAGGCCATGTAAAGAGAATTAATTTGAAATTTTAGAGGAATAGAAAGAAAAGTGATATGGGTGAAGTATAGGGAACGGGGAGCAGAATGATAGGAGATGAGATTAAAGAAGAATCTGGGGCCAGATAATATGATAGAGCTCCACAGGGAAAGAAGAGTATTTGGATGCAATTTTAAAGGTAAGAATTGGAAGAGTTTTAAACAAAAGGATGAGATAATCTCATGGACATTTCTAGAAAAATAAAACAGAATCAATGTGATAGGAGATACCGCATGGAGGCAGGTTACACAGGGGCTTCCAGAGTGAAATAAATGGCATCCTATTAGTCAATGATTCTTACTTTCTTCAAAAGGATAATGGAGGGAACCCCCTGGGTTCCATAGTTTTGATAGCTTTTTCTTTTTGTGGGCAGAGAACACCTACTTTCTAAACATGAAGCTTGTTTCCCTTACCTTTCTATTTCATTTAGTCTCCCAAATGTTGTGGCTTCCTTCCTACAAATCATTTTTCCTTTCCAGCATGTTTTACCCTTGAAATTGATATAACAATAAACCAAAAAATTGAGCATTTGAAATATTTTCTAATTGTTTAAGATAATTGTTTCTGTCTTTTCCATCTCAACCAGTGTTTTACCCAGGGTAGTCCACAGACTACCTGCTTCAAAATCATTCTGTTAGCCTATATATAAAAGAATCAAATTATTGGACCTCACAGCAGGGCTACTAACTGAGAATCTTTAGAGATGGAATCTTGTTAGTGACATGGTCTAAACGTTCCTTAGGGAATGGGCATTTAGCCTGAGCAGTTAATATGTTGGTTAGAATGCCTATATCCCATACTGGAGTGCCTGGTCTCAAATTCCTAGTTCTGGCTCCTGACTCCAGCTTCCTACTAATACAGACTCTTGGAGGCAGCAGTTATGGGTAAAGTACTTGGATCCCTGCTACCCACATGGGAGACATGGACTGAATTTCTGTCTCCTGGCTTTGGCCTGGTCCAGCTCCAACTTCTGTGGACATTTGGTGAATCAACCGGGAGATAGGAGATACCTGCCAATTTGTCTATCTTTCTTCCTCTCAAGTAAATAATATCTGCTCAGCTTATCACATACAGATACAAAAACAGTGAAAGGATTGTATATAAGAGCATTTCCCAGTTCTTTCCTTATGTTTCAAGATTTTCTCTTTTGTCTCTTTATACACATACATATACAGTAATATATATTTATCACTATCACCATCCCTGCCGCTAATATTCTTTTCATTATCAACTCATCGCTAGCATCTTTATCTCCTCACTGATAAAATGATTAAGTAGTTAAGGTGACAAGTTATGGTATATAACCTTAAAGTCAAGGAAAGATAACCAGGAAGCATTCAAGCAGAAAAACCATCTACTCCAAAGGCTCTTGAAAACTTTATTGTGAAACAGAATCACCTGGAAGAGTTTGTTAAAATACAGATTCTTTGGCCTTCCCCAAAGAGACTATATTTTCAATGCACCACAGGTGATTCTGCTGTAGGTGGTTTATGGGTAGACTCTTCTAGTTGAACATCTATTTCCTCTTAGGAATTATTATATGCATATTATCTTGCCATAAATATTAACTCTGGGTCTATTTTTAACAGTTTATTTTCAAGGAAGAGAAAATCTACAAAATTTACCAGGTATCATAATAATTGCCTATTTTCTGAAAACTTTCACTTGGATTTGATTTATTTTTTTTTCATAATAGAATACCATTGTAACACACACTAAGAGAATCAGCCATTTAAAGGAACCCCACGGTGAATCCTTCTGTAAAGTGAAAATTTTTGCCTTGATTTATTTGTTGCATAAATCTAGATTTTCATATCTGAGTTCACCTGCTGGGAAGTAATGTCCTCCCCCCACCTTTGTCTGTGTCCTCTTGGCTAGCATTCTGTTCAATATGTGACCTTCGCAGAATTCTGTGATTTACATGGAACTATTTGGAGAAGTAAACAAGTAGTGTTGCAGTTAACTACAATGATTGGATTGAAGGTCTGCCAGGAGCCAGCAGGACGAATGAAAAAAGAGCTCAGCCCTCTATACAGAAGTAAAACAGAGTAGGTTAAGGCCAAAATAACCATTCTATATCCCTGAGAACTGTAAAAAGATATAGCTAGGAAACTTAAGTGCCTCAGGCTAGAGGCATTTTTTTTTTTTTTTTTTTGCACACTAGAGAAGGAAGGAATTGGGGTGGAGAGGCAAGAAGAGTCACCAGTTCCTTCATTATCAAGCTAAGCTTAAGGAAATTTTGAAACTAAACTGGGGTATGACCAAAGAGGAAGTAAGAAGTGGAGACTTCATAGAAACCCAAGGAGAAAGCAGCTATCTTTGAAGGTTATTTCAAAGCTGTAGAAACAAGATTATATGTATGCCTCATTGTTTCCTCTTTAACACTCTGTGCCATATAATAGCCTCATACCTAAAGTAAGTTAGATCTTAAAGAAAATTATAATAGCCAAGAAGGGTGGTATCTGAACTCACTACTGGGGACTGGGTGGAAGTTGTACTTCTCTGGTGACAGTCCATAAAAGAGCCCTAATGACCAAAGTCCTAGCAATCAAGGCAAGATGGGATTTTCTGAATCATATGACACACATATTAGATTGAACATGAATCCAGCACTGCGGTAAAGAAGATTCAAATGCCAATTATGAAACCTGAGACATTCATATATAAGCACAATAAATTAGATGAAATTGTAAGGAAAATGGGTACCATTTAAAAATTTATAAAATAGGCCAGCGCTGCGGCTCACTAGACTAATCCTCCACCTTGCGGCGCCGGCACACCGGGTTTTAGTCCCGGTCGGGGACTAGATTCTGTCCCGGTTGCCCCTCTTCCAGGCCAGCCCTCTGCTATAGCCCAGGAGTGCAGTGGAGGATGGCCCAAGTGCTTGGGCCCTGCACCCCGTGGGAGACCAGGAGAAGTACCTTGCTCCTGCCATCGGATCAGCACGGTGCGCCGGCTGCAGCACTCTGGCTGCAGCGGCCATTGGAGGGTGAACCAACAGCAAAGGAAGACCTTTCTCTCTGTCTCTCTCACTGTCCACTCTGCCTGTCAAAAAAAAAATTTATAAAATAGTCAGTTCCCTACCTCGGTATTCCTCACCAATCCCAACTTATTTTAACGTGAAATGTCATGTTGAGCTATAGTCTACTATGACAATAATTCAATTCCACAAATTATCTCTGCATACCTACTACCTGCCCAGAACTATGGAGAGCACAAAGATGAATCAAAGGCAACCACTACCTTAAAGGTGATAATAGTCCCTAAATGAAATAAGATATGGACAAACAACCTCAATTTGAAGAGCAAGCCAAAATGCCATATATCTCTATGGCTCAGGAAACCCACAAGCTTTTTTTTTAATTGTCACAACAGTTAATAAGAAGAAATGCATAATTCATAAACTTTTATTTTTCTTAAATGACAGCAGTATATATCAAACTAATCTATCTAAGGAACAGCTGGAGTCCTGTTGCACATTGTCAGACACAATCAAGATCAGGAAGTATGAGAAACAAGGAAAGCTTTTAGGATGGCTTCAAAATACTTAAATCATCTTAAACTCGAAAGTCAAACTTTTCATTGCTCATATACAGGGGAAAAAGGCAGGAAATTGAGGGCTCTGTTTCTTTGGTATAGCACAATTTTTAAGTGTCTCTTTGGAGAGTCTTCCTGTCTCATACAATCAACATACAGCAATACTCCAATGTCCACGAGGAACAGAAAGGGATTCTTTTTCCATAAATGCCATCATTCCCCAGACTCCATTTTACCAAGAATTTCATCTCTGTCAAGTTCACCAAAGGACACAATCATTCTCCTTTTTTTCAAGGTATCTGCTATGACCTCTCTCAAACATCCTTATTTTCCTTGAATCATTTCTAATGAATATTGCAGATCTGACATCTTTGATGTTCTCAGCCTTCTTCTGGAAGCATACTGATATTTATACATTGTCAGTTCAAGTGTTGCAGCTAACAAGTTTTATGTGTTAAAGCAATGATTTTCAAAGTTTATTTTAGGAATGGAAACTTTTTTCACCCCCAAATGGTCAAGAAATCAAATAAAGAGGAGTTCAAAGTAAAGCTGATCTGGTTGAAGCAAGGCTGTGAATGTGCAGAACCCCGCTGCCTGAGCCTCCCTCTTCTCCCCAGTCCCTTCAAGGATCCACAGGGGGCCTTGCAGAACTCCCAGGAAGTAGGTAAGCTTTCAACTATTATTATATTAGGGTGAAAAAGTTATTTTAATAACCTGACAGAATGCCTCAGAAAAGGAGCAATGTTTTTTTTTTTTTTTTAACAAAATAACTTGAGAGTTAACGGGGTATAGAAGGTGAGATCAGGAAGATCTGGATTAAAAAGAAAAACCTTCAAAGCAGAGCAAGTTGAACTTCCCCATATAATAATTAAGAATTTGTGGTGAGGTGCAGGAGTATATTTTGGATGCTGTGAAACACCCATTTTGCCAAATGAAAAGTTTATATATAAGTAGGCATTTGTTGTAAAAATTAAAGAAACATGAGTGAGTTGCCAATTCTGGACTGGCATGGAAATAAGGAACACTGGAAGGAGAGAGTGGACCATAAGAATGAAAACCCATTGGACGCAAAAGGTTGGAACTAGAAGTGATAATAAAATGTCAGTCCTTTTGAATTGATAGGGGAAAAAGCAGAAAGGCAATGAACTTCTGACAGAATGTGGTATAGGGCTGACATACTTTTATCTAAATTTAAAATAGTGTAACTTAGACTTAACTTAGTGTAACTTAGACATATCTGCTATATGAGGGGACTGTGACATTTCTTCATGCCTCAGGTTGAAATGAAAAAAAAAAAAAAAAACCCTCTCAGTCTTCTGCCAGGTCCTCACCCTTTTCAGAGAAACAGACAGACAGACAGATGGAGTCAGAGACAAAGACTAACATAAAAATGTAGAAACACAGAGAAAGAGATGAGAGATTTTTCTTAACACTCCATAAAACATGGAGCAAAGGAAGGGGAGGGTGAAAGAGGAAACACAAGTAGATGAGCAGAAAAGATGGGGATGAAAAACAGAGAGGCGAGGTATGGTGCAAAACTAAGTACCACAACAGGAAAAGAAGAAAAAAAAATAAGACTAGGCAACATTTTGTTTTTAATTTTCCTGTTTTTAAATTTTTGAAATAACATATTTCTACTTTACATTATAGTCAAAAGCATAGTGTTCCATTAAATACAGACTTCAACAAAAAGACTCTAGTTCAGCAGGAATATAGGCAAGAGCTATAAACAACAATCAAATGAAGTCTATTTCATTCACATACAATAAATTTTAAAATAGTTATAGATCATTAAAACTATCAGGAAAGTTGCTTTCAAAAACTCAACTTTTCTCCTCACCTAAACTGCCCAAGGCCCTGAGAAAATATGGTGTATTCCAATTTTTTCTTCCCCTTTATCTATCAATTTGTGATTGGGAGAAGAAAGGGGCCTGGGGCTCTCCATTATTTTTACCTCTAAGCATTTCCTATGGGAATTGGGTGTAGGCGGAAATCTTAAAAAAAAATAACTTACCTTCCAAAACATCTGAGCTTTGACATTGGCATGTTATTGCATCTCCAAATTCCAACCCCATTCTTCTCTGCTTGAACCTTCACCTTCTCTTTAGCTCTTGGAAGACTACATCTGTTTCTTCAACTTGTAGAGGGAAAAAATAGGTTACATTTTGAGGGGGAAAAATGCATGCTATTCTCCCAGTTGCATTTGCTTAAGGTTAAATTGGTCATAAAAGCTCTTCCTTCTGAGCGATCTTCTGTGTTGCCCCATTCATGCTGCTACACTAGAGGGTATCCTTAAAATTATGCTCAGTAAGCAACTCATTATATCAGGCCAGTGCCCAGCAGAGAGCCTGGCCATGAAACAAGCGTATGGAGAAGGCATGACACTTTTGCTTGTTCCCTAAAGCCTGTGCTTCCTGCCATTTTAGAACTATCAAGACCTCCTCACAACAGCCCGTTTGTGGGACTGTTCATCCAACAACAGCAACTGATTGAGAACATTGATGCCAAGAGTGATTGAGTGAAGTTTTTATTAAAACTTATAATTTATGAATCATGGCAGCTAACTGGACCTATTTGATCAAATGGAACAAGAAATGGTACCTCTGTTATTCTATTCAGCCAGTCCATGGGCAGTACTTAGTACTCAAATACATCCTTGGTCCCAAGTGTGAGGTTCACAAGTTGGAACCTACTGGACTTTTTCAAATTGGAATAGCCTTTTCCTTTCAATGGGCAATTGCAAAATTACCTTTAAATTAAGGATTCCCCTGGCCTACTGATCACACCCTTAGTAATTTTTCCTTCAAAACTCATTCCACTTATTTAAAGATTAATTTATTTGGCAGGTGTGTGTGTGTGTGTGTATGTGTGTGTGTGTGTGAGAGAGAGAGAGAGAGAAAGAGAAAGAGAGAGAGAGAAAAAGAGAGAAAGGGAGGGAGGGAGGGAGGATCTTTCATCTGCTGTTTTACCTGCCAAATGTCTGCAGCCATGCCAGGCTGAAGCCAGGAGCCAAGAGCTTCCTCTAGGTCATCCTCTACTGCCTTCCCAGGCACATGAGCAGAGAGCTGGATCAGAAGTGGAGTAGCCAGTACTTGAACTGGCACCCCATGGGATGCTGGCATCACAGGCGGTGGCTTAACCCGCTATGCCACAGCTCTGGCTCCCATAACACTTTCAATTTAGGCCACACGTGCATGCATCTGCTTATGTGCCCCATTTGTTTTATCTACCAGAAGCACATTATCACCTTGAAAACAGGGTTCTAAAGTAATTTCTTCTATTTATTGTGCTTCCCACAGATCATACTCCAGTGCCCTACACAAATGATACCCAATAAATGCTAGTTAAATGAAAAAAATTACCCCCAGTACATTTCCTTTCACACTCTGGCAGTATGGAACCACCTATAAATTCTTTCATACACTGGGCTATTTCAGGTCTTTGTGACTTTGTACATTCTAAGTCTCCCTGATAGAAATGTCCTTCTCTACTTTGTTTATCTACCTAATTCCTCACTGCATGCCCACATCTATTATTTTATTAATCATCTAATACTTCCATTATCTGACCATGTGTTTTCCCTACTAACTAAACTGCAATTTAGAAAGATAGGTCCTATGTCTTTCTCAAACGGTGTAGTATTCGTAGCACTTCATTCCTTCAGTCAACAAATAATTGTTAATTAATTATGTCTATCAATTCTGATACAATCATTGAGCTCCTGAGAATAATGACCATACCACTGACATCTCTGAATGACTAGAATACAGCTCTTTGCACATAGTACATACTCAAAATATGTTGGCTGTTGGATGAACTGATTTAACACTGCAAGTGTAAAATGGTCCCGACTTTTGACTATAACTGGAATGTCTTATATAAAGATCAGCAAGTACAATTATTTGGGAATAACCTTTGGGCACAGACACAATTCCCCCTTGAGTTTATTATATGGTATCATAGAATGATTGTTTCCTGAATCTTATCACTTAAAAGGTCTTGTAATATTGCTCATTTAAAAAATCATGCTAGTGAGGTGGTGAAAAGGAAAGACAGTGTGAGTAGAGAAATCTGGGTCCAACTTCTGACTCGCTTATTATTTATGTGAGCTTGAGCAAGTCACCTGATTTCTCTGCATCTCAATTTAATAACCTACTAAATGTGGAGGAAAACAGTCTCTATTAACCAAGTTAAGTATGTATCAAAGGATTTAATAGATATTAGGTCCCAACAATACTAGCTAACAATATTAATATGTTAATATTAAGTGCTAACAATAGCTAACAATATTGAAAAGTATTATTCAAAAAGAATGCCACAGATCCTGAACGAAGCACAGTTACAGATTTAAAACGTAGTCCCTTTAATTCTCACCCACTCCTCTTCCAAAGTCCTTCCTTTCTCAGAGACCAGATTGAACAACTATTTGCAAAAGGGACAGGAATACATCTTCAAGCTTTCAAAGGCTTTGGCACACTGTCAGTACACCAGACCCACCTCTACATTTAGCGTAAAATATCCCAAAGTTCACAAAGCAAATTAGGCAGTTCATCATCTGAAGGTTGGCTCCCCATGGAGAAACAGCTTCTCTTCCCTGTTTAAAAAAAAAAAATCTTGTGATATTTTGAATGTCTGTGTTTTGTAAAATGTCTTCTTGTAAGAAACGGATAAGGGGCCTTTAAAAATCAGAAGCATGGCTAAATGAACAGAAATGGTGCTAAAATGATTCCTGAGAAGACCAATTGTATGCAGATGGCCTGGCAAATGGTGGGGAGGCGTTAGCAAGCTGGAGTGACTTGGAAGCTGGCAAGCAAGGAAGGGCTAATTGGAAAAGGGCCATTTCAAGGATTCACTCTGCTGGCAGAAGGCCACCAAACACGTCATCGACCTCTTTTTTGTTCCTTCTGATTCAATTCAGAGGGGGGTTAGAGGTCAGAGAAGAGATAGACTGTCTCTACACAGCTAAGTAAGAACAGACTTCGAGTTCTAGGTCACCAGTAAGCAAACTTTTCCTGTAAACAGATAGTAAATATTTTATGCTTTGCAGATCATACGTTCTCTGTTACAACTAGTCAACTTCGCTATAGCAGAACTAAAACAGACAAAGATAATAACAAATCAATGGATATGGCTGTGTTCCAACAACACTTTATTTACAAAGTTAGCAGGCTAACTGGATTTGGCTCATAGGCCATAATTTGGCCACCTCTGCTCCAGAATTCATCTGAGAGTGCCAAGAAAAAAGGCACAGAAGTATTTCTTGGAACAAAATATACAGAGACAAGATTATGAGGTTATGGTCAATGGCTAGGTACATGACCTTGGGTTTCTACACTCTATTTATGCCTCAGTTTCCTTATCTATGAGATGAGATTATTGGAAATGAAGATAATTTCCTGTGCTAAAATTACATAAATTTACTGCTACAGTTGAATCTGTTGCTTTACAAAGTCTTACATAAGAAGTTAGTCCATTTGAAGCTACTGAAGAATAGCTGAAGCTTTCCCTTTCTCATTACCAATCCAAATCACTGACCATCCTCAAGCTCCAAATTTCCATTCATGTTTTCCAGAATAATATGCTAATTCAGTTAGTGATTTTTTAAGTTGCTCTCTGAATCTTTTTTTTTAACTTTTATTTAATGAATATAAATTTCCAAAGTACAGCTTATGGATTACAATGGCTTCCGCCCCATATCGTCTCTCCCACCCGCATCCCTCCCCTTTCCCACTCCCTCTCCCCTTCCATTCACATCAAGATGCATTTTCGATTCTCTTAATATACAGAAGATCAGTTTAGCATACATTAAGTAAAGATTTCAACAGTTTGCTCCCACACAAACAAAAAGTGAAAAATAAGAGATGATTTTTTAAATGATGATGAAATCAGATCAGACCTATTGTCATGTTTAATCCCAGTGAGAGTCAAGTTGGGAATTGATATTTCTTTTTTTTTTTTTTTACAGAAGATCAGTTTAGTATACATAAGTAAGATTTCAACCAGTTTGCACCCCCCATAGAA